CCCCTCGCTTGGCGCGGCGTCCGCGAGCTCTTTGAGGCGAAGCGAGCACTTCTGCTTCTCCTGGTTCCAGACCAGCACCAGGCAGGAGGCGCCCGCCTTCATCTGTGCCTTGACGATGCAGCTCCCGCAGTCGCACGGCATTTTGAGCCGCAGCGTGTGCGGCTCCGCTTTGGGCTCGAGGGTGAGGCGGAGCTTTCGGAGGTGCGGGGCGGCTGCGTTCTCCCTGTCAAGCGCGCGGGCGAGCCGCCCGCTCTCCGCGAGGCTCTGCCAGGAGAGCGGCGCCGGCTGCGGCGCATCCGCGATGCGTGTGTCGCCCATCGAGCCGGCGCTCGCTCTTTTTTTTCTTTTTTTGAGAGCGCCTTCGAAGTTAATAGTACAAACCCAATGGTCCTCTGCGAGCGGTCCTCCGTTGCAGTCACGCACACGCACACGCCATGCCGCACCGCGCGCCCGCCCACCGCCCCGCCCAGGCGGGAAAGAGACGAGGAGATGGGACAGCGAAGGAGGAGTACGGGCACGTATGGGAGGGTTCAGTAATGCGCCACGCTGCCCGGCGTCTCTCACTTTCCGGGACAGCCCCGCCCTTTTGAGGCGGGAGAGTGACGGCTACCCCGTACGCGCCTGCTGCTCTACTCGTCGCCGACCGCCCATCCCCCCCTCCTCGTTCCCCCCTCGAATGCTCCGGACCCCGACAAGCCGCCCGCCGTTGGGCCTCTGCCCCGCACGCTCCCGCCCCTCTGCCCCTCACACACACCCAGGCCCGACATGCACATACAAGACAAACCCGGCGTCCTGCTCTCAAAAGAAAAGAAAAAATGGGAAGGAGGAGACCAGCGGGGGAGACTCCCCGCCTATGCAACACCCCAGAGAGGGGCTGCCATCGCCGAAGCTGTGCCTAAGCATAACTCCCAAACCCGCAGCGGCCCGGGGGGCCTTGGGGGCAGCTGCCGGACCGCTGTTGCACGGGGCCAAGCACCGGAAGATGAGTGGAATTGATGGATTGGGCTGTTGTCCTGGCAAGCACGGAGGAAGAGGCCTCGGTGGACCTCGACGCTCTGACGCCTGATGCGTCACTGTCGAGGGAATCCAACGACCACGTGGAGGCGGACGAGGGGAACAACCAGAGGGTCGCAGTGCTCGACACTGCCACTTGGGGCTTGGCGTAGCTGTATGTGTAGTGACATCAGCTCTTGCATATTCGACACTGCACACGCCTGTTCTGCACAGCAGGGCGCGTACGCACCTCACGCACTTAGGTGGTTAGGGGGCGCTAGCGGGTGGAGAGGGGGGGGGGTGCATGGCTTCTGTGTCCTTTCGAATACGCACGGCCGTTGAATGAAAGAGAGCCGGCGTGTAAAAAGTCGCGCGCATGCACTCGGTGTGCAAAGCCCATGTAAATATAGAGCCTGCGCGGACGATGGCGTCTCTCTCTCGCGAAAGGTTGAGAGGTGACACGTGACGAGAAGGAGGGGTTGATCGAGTCTATTGTTCGAATCAGTTCGTGCGAGTGGGAGCCTGCCGCAGTGGTGTGTGGTCTAACGGCCATCGATTTCTCAAAAGAATCTAATGTGCTCGAGCTATCCTTATGTGCGCAGACTGCGTGAGCTCGTAATACCAGTAGAGAAAGAGTGGTGTGGTGTGCATGGGAGGCATGGGGGGCGTGTGCATGGTTCAGCCTCCGGCTTCGGCTGCTGCCGTGGACCCGGACGACATCCTGCTCTGCCGCGAAGCCCGCAGTGCGAGGCGGTCAAAGAGCGCCATCGACCTCGCGTGGTCTCGCTTGAGCTGCTCCGTGCAGACGATGGGGATGTTCCGGACGCCGAGCGCGGCCGAGGTGAGCTGGGCGATGACGACGGCGCGCACACGACCAAATTGCGCGCGCCTGCGATAGGAAGCGGAGGATATGGGGTCCACTCCGAAGAGAGTCGGGCGGGAGGGGGTGGGGCCAGCAGGGAGGGAGAGGGGGGTCGGCAGGGGGGGGGG